AAACACAGAGATAGCTGACTGGCAGCCATCACTGTTTTCCATACCCTAGCCTAGTGACTCCGAGACCCCACCCCACACAATCTACAAACCCACCCAACATACACACAGTGGCTTTTGCATATAAATGGCCTGCCTTATTCAGCTTAACCTAACAAACTGTAGCTCTGGTCAGACTGCTCCAAAACTGCCAAATCCCAAGCAAAGAGGAGAAAACTGTAGTTCTCTGTAGCTCCTGCAGGAAGACCTCAGACAGTAGCTGATCTGCACACCATTAGAGATCCAGGAGTTAGTGTATCTAGTGGTCAGTATGAGATGACACCAGATTTCAACTACTCACATTCGTAAGTGACACATTCAAGAGGCAGACTCAGTGAGCACCAAAGCCCCACTGAAACAAGTCCTACCCCATAAGTGTGTCTCCATCACAGCAGTTATTCCATTATAGATACAGCGGGTCCTCACAGCCAATTGGCCTGGAGGTCAACTCCTCTAAGTGACACCACCAACAATCAAGATTTAATTACAACAAGGCTGTACACAGTCCACAAAGAGGTGCAATAAGAATGTCCACCTTAGGTAACTGGGAGGCTGACCCATTGGGCCATATAGGATACCTAGCACACAAAGCCACCCTACCAACTCAGGGAAGCAGCGAAAATGCGGAGAAAAAAAAACAAAAACAAAACAGATCACAAACAAAAGAAATGGAGGAAAACAAATGATATAGAGTTCAAAACCACAGTTATAAGGTTTTTCAAGAATTTCCTAGAAAAGGCCAATAAATTCAATGAGACCATTGAGAATATGAAAAAGGACCAACTAGAAGTTAAACATACAGTGACTGAAATAAAAATATTATACAGAGACCCAACAGCAGACTAGAGGAATTAGTAAGAATCAAGTCAAAGATTTGAAATACAAAGAAGCAAAAAATACTCAAGGGGAAAACAAAAAGAAAAAAGAATCCAAAATTTGAAGATAGTGAAAGAAGTCTCTGGGACAACTTCAAGCTTACCAACATCAGAATTATGGGGGTCCCAGAAGAAGAGAGAGAGCAAGGTACTGAGAACCTATTTGAAGAAATAATGACTGAAAACTTACCCCACCTGGTGAAAGAAATAGACTTACAAGTCCAGGAAGCTCAGAGAACCCCAAACAAAAGGAATCCAAAGAGGACCACACCAAGATACACCATAAAGAAAATACCAAGGGCAAAAGACAAAGAGAATATTAAAAGCAACAAGAGAAAAACAGTTAGTTACCTACAAGGGAGCACCCATACGATTGTCAGCTTACTTCTTAACAGAAACTATGCAGGCCAGAAAGGAGTGGCAAGAAATATTCAAAGTGATGAATAGCAAGAACCTATAACCAAGATTACTCTACCCAGCAAAGTTATCATTCAGAATTGAAGGTCAGATAAAGAGCTTCACACATAAGAAAAAGCTAAAGGAGTTCATCATCACCAAACCAGTATTATATGAATGCTGAAAGGTATTCTTAAGAAGAGGAAGAAGAAGAAAAAAGTAAAGATAAAAATTATGAACAACAAATACATATTTATCAACAAATGAACCAAAGAATCAAGTGAATAAAAAAAATCTGAGGAACAGAATAGACTGGTGAATATAATAGAATCAGGGACAAAGAAAGGGAGTGGATTGATAATTCTCAGGGGGAAAGTAGTTGTGGGAAGAGACTTGGCAAAAATTGTACACCTATGGATGAGGACAGTGCCAGGGAGGTAAGGACTGAGAGTGGGATGGGAATTGGGTGGAGGGGAGCTATTGGGGGGGAGGAAGGAGAAACAACTGTAATAATCTGAACAATAAATATTTATTAAATTTAAAAATATTAATAAAACAAAAAAATGAGAAGAATGACAGCTAAATACACTTGCATAAAGGCTACGCAATTATATAGAGCTGCCTTATGGTCTAGAAGTGAATTTCGAGTAGAGCCACTCCAGTTGTTTTGCCACAGCTGTTCTTATTTCAGAAGGCAAAAAGTTAAAAACAGCCTTTGTTCACCATTATCTTTCACTACCAGGCTGGTTTTCTTGAGGGCAGAGCTGTATTTTGTTCCTTCTGTGCCCCAGGCTTGACCCTGTGATCAGCACACAATAGGGCTTATTAACATTTCCTGAATAAAACTGAACTTGGATTATTTAATCTGTTTTAAAATATTTTTTTAAATATATTTTTTATTGGTTTTCCACAGAGAGGAAGGGAGAGAGATAGAGAGCTAGAAACGTCGATGAGAGAGAAACATCGACCAGCTGCCTCTTGCACACCCCCTACCGAGGATGTGCCCGCAACCAATGTACATGCTCTTGATCGGAATCGAACCTGGGACCCCTCAGTCCACAGACCGACACTCTACCACTGAGCCAAACTGGTTTTCGGCTGTTTTAAAATATTTTTAAACACATGCAAACAAAAGTTATTCACTTGTGCTCATTTTATTGTTTAATTATTGCATTCCATCCTTTGGGAAGTCCAATAAAAGGAACAACTCACTGAACATACAACACACTGGCCAATAGCAAGATTAAAATAAAAGTTCCCTGAAATGTGATTTATGAGGTCTTCCTTATTTAGCAGTAGGTCCTAAAGCCAGAGGCAAGGCCACTGGACAATGGCAGGCCAGGCTGAGGGCTCTGTGCTTAACCTCCGGCCTCACTCCCACTCATCTGGCCACACTCAACCCCTGTTAACACCACAGGGTAGAGGAAGGTCAGTTTAAGTAGAGGACAAGATTTAAGTTGTCAGGGAAAGCCAAATGAGCAAATAAAAATACATTAGAATTAAAAGCAGTTTAGATTTTATCACTTAAGAAAACCTGCTATCTGTCCTCCAGAAAATGGCTATGAAAATAAACCCAGGATTTTCTCGTGGACAGCCTCCACCTCCCATTACTGGGAGGGACGAAAGTCCAGGCCCGAGTATCACCTGGCCTTGGTTGAAGATGTGCTTCCTGGATCGCTAGGCGGGCTAATGTAGGTAATGTTCAACTTCCTGAGTTCCAGGGGCCTTCTTCCTACAAGGGCATTGATGTGAAGGGGCTCTGGCTTAGAGGGTGCTGGGAAGAGAAAATGAGATGACCTGACCAGTGCTCAGGGAGATGGCTCCTGTAGCACTCCTCCCAGTGAAATATAGTAGCAACCATACTTTGGTAAAGACTGCTGTTTGAATTTTTAACCCCTCTGGTCTGGCTCCTGCACCTGAGTAAACACATGATATTTACCTCAGCTTTCAGGTGGAGACCTGGAGGCTAAGGTAATTTTCCTGTGCCTAGGACCATAAATACAGAAGATTGATTCCCACTGATTCAGTAGCTTTAGGGGTAGAAACTGTAGATAACCTTTATAGATAACCTTTAGAGATTAACCACTGAGTTCTGCTTCTGCAAGATAGGGCCACATTCCAATGTTCCCAGCCTTTAGAATTTAGAACAAAAGAAAATTCCTGTGGTTCGAACCTTTAAAAAGGACTGCCTACCCCTGGAACAGTGCGGTCGTGTGGAGTCCACCTGCATGTGGTGCTGTTGTGGCCGTCCTGGCCAGTTTTTCAATAAATTCTTGCCTGCTTTTTTTTTTTTTTTAAATCAATCATCAGCCTCCGGTGGTCTTATTTTGAACCCAGGGTTCGACCCCACAACACCAGCACTGTCATCATAGCGGCAGTGAATGTGCAGGTGAAGGGAGCCCACAGGCCTGGAGCAGTCTGTTTACCCTCCTTGAGCAGAGCACCCCCAGCTGTTAGTCAAAAGGGGGTCTGTTCCTGGTGGTCTTCTCTGGTTTCATCAGGACCCGGTCTGTGATGGCAAGTCAGGGGAATGAGGCAGGATGGAGGTTCCCTTTGAATTCATTCATGTCTCAGAACTAAGCATTTCTTTTAGAATAATACCAAAGTAATGTCTCGTCAGTTACAAGCCCATCAGTGCAGGATCCCCTTCTGGTCATACAGAGAGCCTGTGCTGAGGGGCAACCACATGGTGACACCATTCCCGGGACTGTTTTAAAGGCTCTGGGGCCATCAAACGGATTGGGGTGGCACTATGGTTACTGCCATTTTTTTAAGGTATCATTTTGCCAAGTGCTTGGTCAGTATTAAATGTTGTTGCTCTTTTATTCTTTCCATGTGGGTCACCCAAAACTCTAGTATTCTAAAAGTGCAGGGAACACACACACCCAGTGTGTCCTGTCACATGGCAAAAAGAGGGAGTCTCTAAGGGTATTTATGTGGGGCTCTGCCAAGACGGGGACTTGACTCAGAAGGTGATGGCTATAGTGGGACAGTGACTAGTGTGCATGAGTTCTTGCTGTGTAGGCCTCTCCTGAAGCAAGGTCCATGCATGGCATCTGGCATGAAGGGGAGGGAGAAGAGGCTAGAGGTGGGCTGATGAATCCAGTGCGTGAGAAAAGCAAAGGAGTAACAAACCGGAGAGCAGGCCCAAGAAACCTGGCAAGTAACCCTCAAGAACCAGTGGCCAGCAAAGGGCAGGGTATGTGTGTGCACAACCCCATGCTGGGCTAGAGCTGAGTGACCCCAATCACAGGCTCTCGCTCTCAAAAGGTCATTTGGAGAACAACCACTTGATGATATTGAGGTAATGAGTTATCATATGATAAAAATGAATGTATATAGTAAAAGGCTAAATGCAAATTGACTGAACGGTGGAACAACCGGTCACTATGACAAGCACTGACCACCAGGGAGCAGACACTCAACACAGGAGCTGACCCCTGGTGGTCAGTGCTCTCCTACAGAAGCCGGGCTCATGACTGGCAAGTGCAGCAGCAGTGGCGGGAGCCTCTCTTCCCTCAGCAGCAGAGCTAAAGACCCATTGGGGGATGTCTGAGGTCAGTATTACTTGAGCTGGGTGGGCCTAAGCCGGTAGTCAGACATCCCCCAATGGGTCCCAGACTGTACCCCATCCCCATCCCAGTGCATGAATGTTGTGCACTGCGCCTCTAGTAAAGAAATAAAACCACTGACCTCAAAACATTTTTCTTTCTTTGCCTGGTGAAGCAGGCTCGCTATACCGGGAAGTAGAACTGGAAAGATGAATGTTTCCAAATATTCTTTGGGGGGACCTAAAACAAACAATAAGATGCCCAGCTGAAGATTCCAAAGGGCTGTCAACTGATGGTCCATGGTCATGGTCGATTGTCACCGTGATGATCCTTGAGAGTGTAGTGAAGAAGGAAAGTTTATTCAGTGCAAAACAATCGTGATGCAGCATAGCTGTGGGGCACCCTGGGGCCAGGCCCCTTTCTGGTTAGATAGCTCTGCTCTACACGCGTCTGCTCTGCACTGCTCTGCACTCAACTCAGCTGGGGACACTCAGCCTTCTGTGTAAAGGGAAAGTGGACTCTTAGAAGTCCCAGACTCTAGTCCCTAATTGGTCTGTCCTCATGCAAATGAGGAATCCAAATCCTTATCATTTGATTGGTTCAAAAAGCACTGTCCTGATTGGTCAGAATAGAGCTGGTCTGGTTGGTGGGAGCTACACAACTCCAGTTGGACAGGGAAAGCCTCAATGCTATGGACTGAAATAGGTTCCAGGGACTCCTTTATAAGGGTTAGCAAAAACAGTGCAGGTAGGCAGTTCAGTAAAATCTTCTCCTTAAAGCATGGCTTGGGTGAGAGGCCCCTGTTTAGCAATGGCTACTGGACTCTGCTTTTTATCATTTGAGCCCTTTAGTTACTAGGAACCCTTTTAGTACCCTGTTTCCCCGAAAATAAGACAGTGTCTTATATTAATTTTTTCTCCCAAAGTTGCGCTAGGTCTTATTTTCAGGGGATGTCTTATCTTTCTTAGGTCTTATTTTCGGGGAAACACAGTAGGTGTCTTCTTTCTCAGAGTTTACAACCAAGTTAATCTGGGAGGAACATTTGCTTCTGAACCAGAAAAAGAACTGTCTAGGAAATAACATGGCCTTCAGTATTACTCAGGCTGTTGAGTTGAGCCCCTCTGTAAGTCCAGTGAGGGCTCAAGGCAGGCACTACATAGGGCCAGGGCAACAGTGAGGCTGGGGAAATGAGCACAGGATGAGGGGGGAACTAAAGTCAGAGAGGAACAGAGGGTACAGTGGATAGAGCCTCATGGCATGGTCATTAAGGCACTGGTTGTCAAGGCCACAAGCAGAGAGAACAGAACAAAGCAGTTGGAGAGGCCCTGACCCCGGGGGAAGTGGGGCGCAGGCAGCAGATCTATATCTCTGGCTTCAACCCCCAAAGCAGGGCAGCATGGTATTTTCTTCTACTTTTCACATTTTTGCCCCTCTGTATTTAACAGAATCAGAGTATGCTAGTTATTTATCATTATACTAGAAGCCCGATGCAGGAAGATTTGTGCTAGGATGGGCTTTCCTTTCCCTGGCTGCCAGCACCACCTTTCCACTCCGGCCTAGCTCCTTTCCACTCCTGCCCCAGAGCAGCCACTTTCTGCTCTAGCCCCGCCTTCCCACGCTGCCCAGAAGCCCTGAGAGACGAGGGGGTGGGGGGGGTAGTGGAAGGGTAGTTGGGGGGAGGCAGAACCCTTGCAAGCATCTTGCCCCAGCACTCTGCAGGGTGTATGCAAATTAGCTGCCATCTTTGTTAGGTTAATTTGCATATCACTCCCGATTGGCTGGTGGCATAGCGAGGTATAGTCAACTTACATGTTTGTCTATTACTAGGTAAGATTTCAACCTTAAAGATAAATCAATGAAAAAAGGCTACTTCTTTTAATAATGAAAACAAGAAAAGATTTGTTATTTACATAGTCTCTGAGGTCTGTTTGTCCATCCCAACCCCACCTTGTGGTTTTGCAATATTATAAACCCCAAACCAGGAAAGAGGAAATATTCCTTACTTACAGGTTTTGGGATCAGTTGTTTCTGATTTGATTTGAGTGCAAGGTATGTGTGAGTCTGTGGCCCAATGAGGAAATGGGTAACGGTGCTCTGCACTGAAGCCACGGAAAAGGCTTTCTTCCATTGGTGAAACCTAGTGGCGGTGGGAAAAATCAATTTATAGAAATAGCTTAAATAATTACATTTTCTTTTGTAACCTAAGACAGGAATACAATTTTGTGTCAGACTTTAGGTTCTAGGGGGCATATTGAGCACAAGTTTTAGATTTCTTCCCTCATGAGACACATAAATGGCAAACAAAGAATACCCTCTAACAGAGAGGAGAATACGAGAACACTGTGGATGAGAGATATGCCAACATTTCCAGAAGAAACAGGAATTAGATTTGTCAGGTAAGAGAGGGGAAGCAGCACCCCAGAACCTGAGAGGGCAGGGCGGGGCGAGGATGGGCTCCTGACTCCACTGTGGGGCAGGACGGAGTTATCCTCCATTCTGTAACTGAACCCTAGCCCTCACCAAACCAATCAGGGTTAGCTGAGGCAGTGACATCACCACCGACCGGAGTAAAACCCCTGGAGTGGGCAAAATTCGCTCTCTTCCACCATGCAGCCGGCGTGAGTGGGACAGAGCCCATGCTAGCATGGAAAAAGCTCTTTTGTTTATTGCATTGGACTCGGCTCCCTGGTGGACCTTGGGGATCACGAAGTCTGGGCGTAACAAACCCACCGCCTGAACCTGGGTAGATGGGAGTCCATCTTTCCACCAGGATTCCCGAAGGCTTCATGCTCCCAGAGGGTGAGGATGAAAAGGGGATGATAATGAATAAGAGCGTGAAGTGAAAATCTGGCTGGGGCGCCACTGGTCTGCTGCCCACATTTCCCTCTATTTGCTCCTGCCCCTCAATATGTGTGAAGCTAGGCTCACAGCAGCATTTTCTATCCAACTCTCCTTTCCAATGGATTTTCTAGAAACAATTTTTTAAAACAGCCTTAGAAGGAGAATTACTCAGGACGCCATGCAGATGGTAAAAGATTAAAAAAAAAAAATGGGCTTGCGGAGAAAGATGGCGACTAGCAGGACAGAGCTGAGAGAGAGGAAGTGAGTAAGAGTGCGAAAGGAGTGTGTGTGGAAGTGCATGGGGTGTGTATGAGTGAGTAAGGGAAAGTTAAATCACGCTGGAGCAGCAGGAGTTGGACGACAGCCTCCCCTGGACAAGGAGAGACTATCACCGCTGCCGGCACTCCCTGGACGGTGGGACTCCAGCACGGAGCCCACGCTGTCTTGAACATCACCAACAAGATAGGCTTTGGAGCTGCCCCTCGGCCCAGCACACACTCTAGCCTAGGGGTGTCGAACTCAATCAGAGAAGGGGCCAAAATCTAAAATCCAGCCTAAATCGCGGGCCGAATGGTTTACTGAACAGTCATAAACTGTCATTGTGATGGAAACGCAGCGGAGTGCAGTGATGACAGCGCGGTGCGGGCCACATTGCAAGGCCTGGCGGGACGGATTTGGCCCGCGGGCCTTGTGTTTGACACATGTGCTCTAGCCAGTGTCCTGCGACCCCAGCTGCAGACCCGAGGACACTGGGATCTTAATCTCCAAAGACGCACCATTTCGCAGCTGTAAGTAAAACTCCTCCTCCACAACAGCCAAACTGCGGATTCACGCAAGCCCAGAACTCTTCGCTCAGCAAGCCGCACTCTCCAGGTAGGGCACACCTGTGCGCCAGCCCAGAACTCTTTACTTGGCAACCCGGACATCTTCAGGCAGTGCGCATTTGCTCACGAGCTGGGAACTTTTTACTTAGCTAGCTGAGCCATTTCCAGGCAGTGTGTGTTTGTGCGCCAGCCCAGAACTCTTTACCTGGCTAGCCAGGCAGTCTACAAGCCGTGCTTGTTTGCGCGCGAACCTGGATCTCTTTATTTGGCTAGCTAGCCAGGCGTCTCCAGGCAGTGCGCATTTGGGCGCAAACCTGAAACATTTTACTGGGCTTGCCAGGCATCTCCAAGTCCACGCACTAGCGCACAAGCCCAGAACTCTTTACTTGTGGGGCGTCTCCTAAGGCTGCATGGGAGAGAAGCCAAAAATACCCAAGGGTGTGTTTCTGGGCAGACAGGGGTGCGCATGCTCCCCCTTCCATAGGCAGACCTGAACAATCTACTCCTGCTAGAGGGTATCTCCTTAGACAGCGCTTAGGAGAGGGAGAAAGCACCCAAGGTTGTGTTTATGTGCGGGCTGGGGTGCGTGCATTCATCATCACAGAGACAGGCCTGAACACCTTAGTACTGCTAGCGGGTGTCTTGTTGGGCAGTAGTGGGGAGAGGCTGAAAACACCCGAGGCTATGTTTTGGTGCAGACAGGGACTTACGCATTCCCCGTCCCATAGGCAAGCCTGGAAACTTTACTCCCACTTCTGGGCATCTCCTTGGGTGGCAGTAGGGAGTCCCTGAAAGCACCCAAAGGTGTGTTTCTGTGCATGGGTGGCATGGCCCCACAGTGGAAATTCTGAATTCCTTCTTCCTGGAGGTTTGAGACATTCACCCTAGCTGTTCAACAGACCCCTCGGAGTATATCGAAGTTCTGCACCCTGAGAGCTCAACATCCTGGCAACCTGGCATACTGAGCACAACTAACCACAGCGCGTTAGTGGGAGCCACTGTGAGCTCCTCTTTGGGGCGATCTTGAACAAGTAGGGAGCGCACTCCTCCCCAGCAGTAGAGGCTTTGTATTCACTTAGTCTGGATACCGACCATAGGCACCTCAATTGCACGGCTACACTGCCAGAGCCCTTCAGAGTCCTTCGGTGTGCTCACTGACAAACGCACCGAGGGTGCTCCTGTGAACTGCCACTGGATGTAAGCGCCTATCCACCAGGTACAACAGCAAAAGCTGGATCTGCCCACCCCACAACTGCAGAACCCCAGGCAGCACAGTCACGTCTTTCTAAAAAGCAGGTCACCTGAGCCCCAACACCCCACCAGACAGTTCCTAGGGCATACTGTGAGTCCTGCAGGGCAAGTGTGATTACAATTAAGGGTGCAGGAAAGCAAAAATTGGGTCTCTCCCACAAACAGTGGCTGACTCCTAGACACCACAGTTGTGCCTCTCCAGCTCGTAGGCCTACACCATGAGAACCCAAATAGCTCAAGTAGGGAGCTACACTAGATTAACAAACACAGGAAAACTGAGAGATTACGCTAGTAGCACCATCCCCCAAGAAACCTGAGCAGCAAAGCAAGTGGATCTATAATGAAAGCATTACAGGAAAACATGGGAAGATAAAAAAGTAATCCCCAAAGGAAAGAAAACGAGGAATCACCAGAAAGGAAGTTAAATGAATTTGAGGCTAGCAGCTTATCAAAGACAGAATTCAGAGTAATGGCTATAAGGATGTTTAAATGGCTAGAGGACAAATGCACACAACTCAATGACAATTAAACACACAACTCAAGGAGAGTTACAAGGAGCTGAATGAAAATATCACCAACATGAAAAGAAACCAAGAGGAGATGAAGAACGACATAGCTGCAATAAAAAACACAATGGAAGGCTTAAAGAGTAGACTAGAAGAGGCTGAGGACTGCATCAGCGAAGTAGAAGACAAGGTAGTAAAAAAAACACAAACACAGCAGCAACTGGAAAGAAGACTTAAAAAGCAAGAGGAGAGCCTAAGAGAGCTGTGGGACAACACAAAACGAAACAACATTAGAATAATAGGGATAAAAGAAGGAGAGGAAGAGAAGGAAGAAATAGAGAACCTCCTGGAAGAAATAATGACAGAAAACTTCCCTGATATTGGCAAGAAAAAATCTATCCAAGACCAAGAAGTACAGAGAGTCCCAAACAAGTTGAACCCCAAAAGACCGACACCAAGACACATCATAATTAAATTCACAAACATCAATGACAAAGCATGAATGCTAAAGGCTGCAAGAGAGAGACAGAAAGTTACGTACAAGGGATCTCCTATTAGAATATCAACTGATTTCTCAATAGAAATACACCAGGCCAGAAGGGAATGGAATGAAATATACAAAGTGATGCAAAACAAGGGACTGAACCCAAGAATACTATACCCAGCAAGGCTATCATTCAAAATTGAAGGTGGAATCAGAAGCTTCACAGACAAAAAAAGGCTAAAAGAGTTTATCACTACCAAGCCAGCAATGCAAGAAATACTGAAGGGACTGCTGTAAAAAGAAGATAGAGAAAGACAAGCAGATACACAGACACTAAGGGTAAATATGACAACAAACAGGTACTTATCAATAGTAACATTAAACGTAAATGGATTAAATGCACCAGTAAAAAGACATGGGGTAGCTAAATGGATAAGAAAACATGACTAATATATCTGCTGTCTACAAGAAACCCACCTTAAAGCAAAGGATTTACACAGACTGAAAGTGTAGGGGTAGAAAAACATTTTTCAGGCAAACAGAAACAAGAAAAAAGCTGGGGTTACGATACTTATATCAGATAAAATAGACCTCAAAGTAAAGGCTGTAACAAGTGATAAGGCAGGCCACTATATAATACTAAAGGGAGCAATTCATAAAGAAGATATAACTCTGGTAAACATATACGCACCCAATGCAGGAGCACACAAATACATAAAAAAATCTCCTGGAAGATATCAAGGGAGAGATCAACATCAATATAATCATAGTAGGGGATTTAATACACCACTGACATCAATGGATAAATCCTCTGGACAAAAAATCAGCAAAGAAACAGCAATCCTAAATGATACACTAGACCAGATGGATCTAATTGACATCTTCAGAGAATTTCACCCCAAAGCCAAGGAATGTACGTTCTTCTCAAGAGCTCATGGAATATTCTCAAAAATAGACCACATTATTGAATAACAAGCAAAGTCTCCCCAAATTTAAAAAGATTAAAATCATATAAAGAATTTTTTCAGGTCACAATGGCATATTAGAAATGAACTACAATAAAAACATTCCAAAAAATTCAAACCCCTGGAAACTGAATAGCATGCTACTAAACAATGATTGGGTTATCAATGGGATCAAAGAAGAAATTAAAAACATCCTGGAGACTAATGACAATAAAAACACAACATTGCAAATCCTATGGGACACATTGAAAGCAGTCCTGAGAGCG